CCATCCATTTACATTCTATTTTTAGTCGAATTATTAAAACCTCTTTGAATCTCTACATACCACTACAATTTGATTAACCCTTTTAGTGTTCTTATGATTACAAGTAATGTAAATAAATGAAGCCTGACAAATAGTGAGTATCCTGTTTGTGACAGCTACTACTAATGCCCCACTTTCACAAACAATGAAATGTTCTAAAGCAAACACGAAGAAAGTATACTTAAGAATCCAGACCTTAGTTTCCCATGTTGCTACTTCTACTCATTTAACCTCCTTTACTCTTTGCCTACTTTCCTTGGAAGCCCATATATCACAACCACTGAGTGGCCTATAACTACTTTGTTTGGATGATTTTACTTGGTAGTAACTCAGCCTAAAATAAACAACTACTACATGGTGGTCTTGTTTTCATCAGACTGCAATAGCAGAGATGCCAGTCATTGATTCACAACTCATATTTCCTTCTTAAGATAGTGTCCAAACTTCAGCCTTTGAAAGAAAGCTCTTGAGTGTTCCATGCCACAACAAACCTATACTAGGTTGATCAGCCTCTTTTTTCAAAAAAAAAAAAAAAAAAAAAAAAATTGGAATCAGATCACAAAACTGAAAGAGCATGGAAAAAAAAGGACTGACTCAGCATTAAGGCAAGGTAAGATGACATCATAAAGGAAGAAAACTGAATAAGTAGACTGGCAAGACTGCAGAGAAAAGCAAAGTACCCAAGAGAAACAAACAAACAGTAGGAGCCCTAGAAGACATAGATGAAACTGTAATGGTTCCCCCCATGTGGTCTGCATCATTTCATATTTGTGGTGTTGTATCCCTTCAATAAATCCCACTTTCACTTCAGCTGTTCTGTTTTTGTTTCCACAGTTAAATGAAAATTTGAGAAAGACTATCAATCTCATCAGTATTAGTCCTAAAAGAGCATCCATGTTCTGGCAGAAATACCACACCAGCAACTTTGTTATCAAAGAAAAGATGTTGTCTCCTTGTTATAGAAGCTGCTGTCAAAAACAGGTGCCTAGAGTAAACAGGTAGGTGAGAGAAGGAGGCTGGCACCTTTAGGTTCTCTTCTTCTTCTTTAGACACGTTTATTTTCATATTAACTGGATAAAATTTTTCCTTCTTCAAAAACACATTCATTTGCTCTCTCCCATTTTTCTTGGATTACCTTTTATTTTCTGCGTTCCACAAAGATGAGAGTATGTCTTAGTCCATTTCTCTTACTATATCACAATACCTGAGACTTAGTAATTTATAAAGAACAGAGATTTATTTAGCTCAAGGTTTGGAGACTGGGAGTCCAAAAGCATAGTGCCAGTATCTGGTAAGTGCCTTCCTGTTCATTTATAACCCCCAAACAAAGCATTAAAACTTTGAATTACAAGCATCACATGGCAAGGCAGAATAAATATGCTGCATAAGCTTGGATTTATCTTTCTCTTCTTATAAAGCCACTAAGGCCATCATGGGTACCCCACCCTCACAACTTCACCTAATCCTCATTACCTCCCAAAGGCTCCACCCCTATTATATCATTAAATATGAATTTGGGGATTAAGTTTCCAAAACAAATCTGGAAGGGCATATTCAAATCATAGCAGGATACATGAAAAGAAAGACTAGAGGTGATGGTACATATCAAGGGACATTCAGCCTTGCTGACTAAGAGGTTATAGAGGAGGGTGGTAATGGTAAAGTAGGAAGACATTTTCTACAAAAACAAAACAAAACAAAAAAATCATTACTGAGTCTCCGGCAACTATCACCATTATATGGTCTAACCTGAAATTTACAAGAGAAGACAACAATCTAGATTTTTATGTAAAGTCTCCTAGTTGTAAAATGTTAATAAATTAATTTTCTTCTACAATAAAGTGGGTCAGTTCACTGGCTGTTGAATTACAATTCTATTGTAGACTTTAGCATCATTTAAAACTTCCTATATTTCTAGCTTCCCTAAAGTATGTTTAACATCTATAATATGAAAAGCCTTCGACTATGTATTAGGCAAATCACTATCAAAGTTGAACCTCATGTATTTTTCTAGGCACATGATTTAAAATTGAATGTTGTTCCTCAGCAACAACTTAAAACAAGTCTTAATTAACATTAAATGCCAAATCACACTACCTACTCTAACAGGACAGCAACACAAACTCTTCATAGTTCACTACCTAGAGTAGGTTGAAAAACCACTTGCATATGCTGTCAGTTCCTTAAATATCACACTGCGCCCTTCTTCCACAATATACAACTTCCTTATCATCCTGAACTTAACCCTCAGAACTCACTGCACACTACTGAAATCATGTCTTTATTGTTTTTCTCTCCAAGCAGACTATAAATACCTTAAGGATAAGGTCTAAATCCTTGGGACTGTATATCTGGAGCTAAATATAAAAAAAAAATGGACCATGTGGTAGAACACTGAAAGTATTGTTTAGTAGACCACCTTTGATCCAAGGAGGCTACCATGTACCAGGCACCTAACAGATGCTCATTCCTTTACTCAAATAATATTAGTGAAGTGGTGAATAACATAGATTCATCCTTCTCAATAAACATTTCAGTTAAAAGAATGAAATAAATGAGGGGGGATTTGCTAGACATAAATAAATGTACATATGTCCTCTAGTTCACTAACATTAAAGATGTACAGCTTAATGCAATTAATTTAGTATTTTTATCCAACCAAATAAGGACAATACCAAATTTACTAGGTTGTTGTGAAAAGTGAATAAAAGGCAGTCATAATTCATAAAAATGCTGCCAAAAAAAACATCTTTTAGGGAAACCAAAACTCTAAAAATACTTCCAAATGACAAATTTTTAAATCTCAGATGTGCGAAAGAGGAAACAGTTCAATAATTATTGCTTAATTTATACAGTTTACAGTTATCCAAATAGTTGTTTAGCTTTATAAATCATAGGGTTTTGTTTTGTTTTTAATCAAACTCTAAAAAACCCTGTCTATATATAAAGAAAAACACCATTGGAAATTCATGTTTGCTATGCAAGTATTCATCACAGCAAAACAAAAACTTGTAAATGTTAATATATTAGGAGATATATTTGGGCTCAGTGTTTGGAAAAAAAAAAAAAGTGTGCAAATTTTCCAAATAACAGACCAATCTAACAACACAACTTCAAATGTAGAATAAAACTCCCCTCCTCAGAATTAAGGTTGCTAATCAACTGACTTGAAAATGAAGAGATTATGGTGGCTTATCCAGGTAGGCCCTGGAAGAAGGAAAGCAGGAGGGAGTGGCAAGAGAGATGTAATGTGAAAAATAATGGACCAGCCATTGGTGACTTTGAAGATGGAGGAGAGCCATGAGTCAAAGAATCTGAAAGGCCTTAAGAAGCTGAAAAAAATCAAGGAAACAATTCTCTCCCAGAGCCTCCAGAAAAGAATAGACTCTGCCTGATGTTAGGCTTACTGAGATCCATTTTGCATTCTGACCTCCCAAACTATAAGATAATGATTTGTCTGTGGCAGTAGCAACAACAGGAAATTAATTCAGTTTGCCTTGGAATGTAGTACTCTTTCCCTTACAGATGATGTTAGACAACTCTGGTGTTGTTCATGGTGCACCTCTGTTGGGTGGGGGTAGGGGTAGGGGTAGGAGAGTGGTGAGTAGGTAAAACAGTGAAGATACATCAGATAAACACTGCCTAAGTGAAATTGTGAAAGCAGAAGGAATTAAATTGGTTCTAAGGAAAACGTCTAAAACTGCATGCACATTCATGTAAGTTCTTTTCTTTGTAGTCTGGAGCATTCAAAGATTTTAAAAAGGATTTTTTATAAGCAAGAGTAAGCACCTTTCTAGATTATTTCCAACAGGTGGCTTTTAACATTCCATGATTTTCTAAGGCAGTAAGTCTCAATCTGTAGACCATCTAACCCCCAAACAAAGCATTAAAACTCACTTAAGGTTGTTAGTAAAATGCAGAGTCCCAAACTCCACCTGAAACAGAATCTGAGAGCTGTAGGAAAGCTCAATTCTTTTAACAAACTGAGAGATGGGGGACAGAATAATATACACAATAAAAGAACCACTGCTCTAAGGAATGTTGTACAAAACATTAGAGATTGAAATAGATTGTTTCCATCACCCAATCTTTAAGAACCTCAGTCATTTTGCTGATTATTGTAAGTCGTTATTTTTTCTGAACCTCAGGCAGCCGAGGTAGACAATTCCACCTAATTTTTTAGATGAAAATTCATTCTGTAGAGTGCCAAGAACGATGACTAGTAGGTAATACTATCAAACTAAAAAAACGTTAAGTTTTATCTTCCAATACTTCACTCCAAACCCCTATTCCAGACTCCTGGTTTAAGAAAGAATAATGCCTGGCATGCATTTTACATACTGTCCTGCTAAATACTGGAAGAATTATGTTTTTGTGCCAATATCATTACTAGTCAATTTTCTATAATCCACTTAGTTTCCCGTCCTAAATTTTCATTTTTCAAGCGAATGTTTTACTTGAAACATTCTCCTAATCATCCCAAGTTAAATCTTATAAATTACGTATCATCAGGTGGGGCTGTAAGACAGGCAGCCAAGACCTCAAATCTCCTAAAAGGGACAGGCCCTGAGAATGAATAAGAACAGCTAGTAGCGGCCTTAAAATCTAAGCAACCTTACGCAGTTTTTCTCGGTCAGAGATTCTTGACAACAGTAAAGGTATCTGAGATGTGAATAGGAAGGGGTCCTAGAGAAGGACGTTTAAAGCAAACCTCTCTCGGTGCCTCACAAACAGACCAAATTCCAAAGCAAGGTCATAGAGAAACCATGCCAGCCAGGATGCGGGAGTCCAGCTCTCTCAGCTCCCAAGACATCCCTTTGCGGCACGCATTAGACCCAGCCAGCAGACCCCTCTCAGAAGGGGATAAGGCACCTTCATACCCAGACCGAGGCCTTGAAGCAAGAATGCGTTCAGGCCCATTGCTCAGCTCCAGAGAAAATGAGCGAGCCTCGGCCACTCACCCCGCAGCCAGTGACTGCTGTGAAACCATCTCCAGCTAGCTCCACGGCCGACAGACCACCCGGCAGCGGCCCCGGCCATCCCCATGCTTCGACGGCAGCCGAGGCCAAGAAGGTAACGAAGAAGCGGAGGGTCACAGCCCAGCTTCCAGGAGGCCGCCATCTTCCCGGCTTTCCCCCCGGCTGCCCGCAGCACAGCCTGATCGCCAGCCTCAGGGCCCTCCCAGGCCCCGCCTTCTCCCGCTGGTCACGCCCCCTCGACGCCCGCCTAGCGAGTGGATCTCGCTGGCTAGCCCTCTTAGCCCCGCCTCCAGCCTCGTTGGCCACGCCTCCCGGCCGGGCAGCAACACTAAAGCCTCTCCCAACCCGCGAGGCCCTCCCAGATTCCGCCTCCCTACTTGTACGCTCCGCCCCCGAGATGCCCCTGTCGCCGCCTGATTGCACTGTGGCCTGGCCGCGGTAGACCGGGCGGAGCGCTGGGTGCAGAACCGTGTGGAGGCTGGAAATCGTGGGTGCCCCTCGTCCGGACCATGTCTGGCTGCCACGGTCCGGAGGGAGACTGCTGCTCACGGCAATGCGTCGCGCAGGTAGGGGCGGGGCCGCCGGCGCCGCTCTTCCTAGGCGGCAGGGCGCTGGCGCGGGGTCGCGAGCCGCAGGGTCGTGGGCGGGGCTTCCGCGGGTGCGAGCGCGGCCCTGCGGCCTGGCTGCGCTCTTGACTGCGGGAGCTGGGCCGCAGACTGAAAAAGGAAGAGTGACAGTGAGGAACGCATTTGGGCCACTGTCGCATGCATATCGGGATGACAGACCTAAGGAGTCTTGAGGCACTGGAGTGGAACTGGAGCGAAAGCGGAGCTCCTCGAGCTTCTTTTCTGCGCCTGGCGACCAGCTCCACGATGCTGAACTGCAGCTGGGCCTCCGGAGCCTGCACCCTTTAGTAGAGTTGCTCCTTACTCACTGTTTAGATGAATAACGGGGTGATTCTGCCTAACGATTCTTCCTTGAGCAGAAGTCAGGCTGCAGGTTTATCATTCACTTATACACAACCAACAATCTTACTGGAAGCCTTAATGAACGCCTCTGAGTGTCCAGAGAGTGGTGAACATGACAGATGGCCCGGAGTCTAGAGGAGAACTAGACCAATTAACAAATTCAGTATAATGCATAAGAGGCAGGAAAAGCCCCCTAAGCTTAGTTCTCTGATCAAAGGGCTGAAGGTCTCACTGGGAAGATTTTATTACTAAGCATTTGTAAACCGTTATGTTGTTTTGAGTAAGTGACTTCTCCCAAATTAGCAAACACGACAGGTTAGAATGCTGGATAGACATGATTGTATGAGGAAGATGATGATCTTGGATACAGGACAGATCACTGGAGATCATTTTGAGACAGATGGGTTTGGAGAATAAGGAAAGTGAAAGCAGTCCATTAGAAGAAACATTGCTAAGACATTTTAGCACATGTGTACATGCCCCCAGTAATTAGATCTTTGGCAGTGTCTAAGAGAGCAGCATGTCTAAGCTTCAAAGAGCCTAAAACAAGAAAACTAAGAATAAACTAAGATTCTTAAACCAAAAATGGCCACAGGACAACATGTAGAACAGGCATCTTTTATTTGCTTCAGTCAGTGGTCATGAAAAATGTGAGCTACTTTTTCAGAGTCCAGAACAATCTTGGCTTCTATTGAAATTTAAGAGCATTTGGTGTGACTGGACCCTTATTTCTTCATGGGGTCTGGATTGAACTGACAAATAGTTACTTATTTAACCCAAGGCATGTGCTTCCACTCCTCAAACTAGATTTGCATGTACATTTAAATACATTAACCCCACTAAACATTTTTGTTTACCTTGTGTTACAAAAATAAATGAGAACAGCAATAAGAAAAGCTTTGAGGCATAAAATTTCAATGCAGTTTTAGAGGGTGCAACCGAAAGAGTTTATCCTTAAGGAAGAGGAGTGTTCAATTGTGATTGTTTCAGCAAATATTGAAGAGGGCCTACTATGTGCCAGACACTGTGAATTTAACATAATGCAAGTTACTTCTAATTTCTTCCCCCATAGAGAGTGCTGTGTAGTGGGAGAAACAGTAAAGAGACAGTATGACAATATAATAGCACCACTATGGGAAAGTTCGGGGTGCAGTAGGGTTTGAAAATGCCTCTGGAGGAAATAAAGGAATCAACTGAAGCCTAAAGGATCAGGAAGACCACAGTAAGAAATGAAGCTGAGTTTTCTAATTTCAGGCTTACCCTGGAGATATTTCAGGTTACATCACAATAAAGTCACACAAAAGCTGTAGTTTCCTAGTGCATATAAAAGTTATGTTTACACTATAGTCTATTAAGTGTACAATAGCATTATGTCTAGAAAATAAACACAATTTTAAAATATTTATTGCTAAAAAATGGTTATGATGATCTGAACTATTGGAAATAATGATACTACTGATAGGTTTACAAAGCTCAGGGTTGCCACAAACCCTCAATTCATAAAAAATGCAGTATCCAAAGTACAATGACATAAAGCACAGTAAAGGTAAGCCTGTAGAAAGAGTAGCATGCACAGAGTCTTAGAAAAAAGGGCATTGTGTGTTCTCATATCAAAAGAATCTTGGTGTTATGGGAACAAAGTAGGGGACAGGGACTTGGGAAAATGATGAAGCTAAAAAGATGAATACTAGGACCCAAACTAGAGGGCTCTTTAAGCCATCTTAGGAATACAGATTTTTATTTTAAGGGCAATGAGATAATAAGAAAGATGGCTGAAGGAAGCGTATGGGGTGACAGGCTGTGGTTGTAGCTCAGTGGTTGAGCGCTTGCCTCGCATGGGTAAGGCACTGGGTTTGATCCTCAGCACCACATAAAAAAAAAATAAATAAAACAAAGATATTTTTAAAAAAAGAAAGAAAGAAAATGTATGGGGTGCTGACTGGATTGGAATCTGGAGGCTTAGATACAAACCAGGAAGCTGTAGCAGTAACCCAGGCAAGAAATGCCAGTGCCCTCAGTGAGGGATTTAGGTGGTAAAGTCTAGAGGACGTGATGTTGATTCGATGGGGATGGTGAAAAAAGGTGCCAGGAATGACTTAGGTTTCTGAGGGAGTGATTGGGACCTGGTGAACTCTCAGAAAGAACACGGGAGGAAGAAACAGTTGATGATAAGCCCATCATAGACATAACAAATATGAGGTCCCTGGTTGGAGTGAGATATTAAAAGCTGGGTATTTGTGGCTCTCAAGCTCAAGAAAGAGAGCTGGATTAGAGATGAAGTTTTGGAAAACTTGGTCACCAAAGCCTTCCCTCTTGAATTAATTGATCTTTATTTGATGGACACCCTCTCCCTAAACCCCTATTAGATTAATTGCCTTCCTCTGTAGGCTTTTCAATAATATTATTTTATCATGCTTGCCTGTAACTTTTAAGTTGTTTGTTTCATGGACTAGTATTGCAAAGATTTCTCAGGCACTGAGTATATTATTTTCAGGATAGATTCAGCTTATTATACAAGTAATGTCTAGGCTGATTTTACAGTCCAAAAATTCAATCCCAAATGACCTCTGATACTTGGACTAAATTTTTCTAGTATCAAAAAGTCAAGGGGGTTGGGCTGGGGTTGTAGCTCAGTGGTAGAGTGTTTGTTTGCCTGTGTTAGATCCTCAGCACTACATAAAAATAAATTTAAAAAAATGTTGTGTCCATCTACGACTAAAAAATAAAAATTAAAAAAAAAAGTCAAGGGGTATTTCCCTACGAGAGAAAGTGTTTACTTAGAAACTGTGTATTAACAAAGTCCAGATTCTAAAAGTACTAACATGAATAAATCACTATTCTCTGTTCTTGGGAAATTAAGGCAGTTATAAATGCATACCAGTAACTAATATACTATATAACAGAATTGGGCAGTGGAAGGAAGAGGAGAAGACTAAATTCTTAAGGAATTTTTGCAAATGCAGAAAGAGGAAAGATAATTGGAAACAGCAATTCATGTAAGGCTTTATGGAGAATTTTGGATGGGCTCATGGTTCTAGAGGGACACGAAAAAGAAGTTCCTTAGGGTGACCATATGCCCTATTTTAAGAGTTCACAATACATAACTCTGACTTTTTTTTTGCTGGGGGAAAAAAATCTGTTGTTTTTTTGTTTTTGTTTTTTTTTAGGGAAACCAGAAACTGGGATTTTGTATGAAATCAATAATTTTCAAAATTTTAAAATGTCAACTCAGATTCTAAGCATTATACAGACCAAATTAATTACTTCCTGGAAGTCTGATGAAATCCACAAGTCAATTTGTGACTTCTATAATATATTCTTGAATGTAAGATATATGATCTTAATTCATCCAGTATTTATTAAGCCAAGCACTGCGGTAGGAGTAACTTAGAAAGAGCATGTTGCCTACCCTTTAGTGAGCTGGGCACAGTTGGGGAGAAAAAACAGGTAGGCACTGTTTTTACTTTTTTTGGAGGGGAGTTACCAGGGATTGAACTCAGGGGCACTTGACCACTGAGCTACATCACCAGCCCTATTTTGTATTTTATTTAGAGACAGGGTCTCACTAAGTTGCTTAGCAGCCTCACTTTTGCTGAGACTGGCTTTGAACTCACGATCCTCCTGTCTCAGCCTCCCCAGCTGCTGGGATTGCAGTCGTGCGTCACTCTGGTTTGTTTCTACTTTTTTTGTTGTTATTTGTTTATGTGTCATAGTGTTTCTGAACAAATATTTGTTCTTTGATATTTCTACAAAACAAGGCTATTTGTTTTCCTTGACCTCAACAGTTCCGTGGAAGCAACCCAGTCTCATGATCATAAACTCCCTGCCCAACTACTACCCCTTCACCACACAGATATTTGGGGTGAAGGAATTTTTCGTTCTGTGGTCCCTTCTGTGTGCCCTGTATCAGAGGATCCTCCACATTCTATCATAAATAGGTACCTTTATGGAAGGCCCCCCCCCACTAGGTCTGCTGAGAATGTTCCCAGGGAAGGGATGGAATCACTCACTGTACGAGATGATGTCTCTACAAATATCACGGGGTCTTACCACAGCTAGCCCACCTTCTTTGTTCCTTCACTAGCCCCTGAACATTCCTGAGGAATATTCCTCAACTGTGCTGTGTGGACTCACTTCAGACTCATGGTTTCAACCTCATACTTCCAGCAATGCTCCTGTGTCCTACAGTAGTGCCCACTCCCTAGTACCCTCTCCCCAGAGGACTGTTTTATACCTTTATTCTCTTGTTATGCCTCTCAGACCATCCCCACACTCTCAGCTGATGACTGCATTGATACTTAAGAAAACAAAAGTCACTAGATGTGAACTTCCTCACCTTCCCACCATAAAACCTACAGATATGCCTGAAAATGAACCCAGCTTCCTTTCATTTCATAAAATGGAAGCAGCCCAGTTCTTCCACCAGTCTCAGGTCTCCAGGCCTTTCACCTTCTGAAGTTATTTCTCTCCCTCTCCCTGTCTTACCATCAATCATTTCCTCCCTGGGAGGACTGTGCTCATCAGCAGGGCTTTCAGATCCCTACATGATCTGGTCCCTGCGGTCATTTTCCACCACTTTCAGCACTTTATCACCCTGC